GACGAAACAGTTTGTCACAGCCCCTCGTTTGTTGTCCTCTTCTCCCTCTCTGCCTACGGTTTACCGGGAAGTTCTATTTGACGATATATATATATATTTATATATATATATATATACGATATATATATATATGTATATATTTATATGTATATATATCGTTTTGCAGGCAAGTGTGTTTTGACATACTGGTTGGTCTTGTCCCGTCGTTTGGCCTGTAGTTGTCGGGGGCGGTGTTTGCATGTGGGACTTGTCATCTAGGATTGTCATCCTGTTGAATGGGCATCCTGGTTGGTTGTTTCCCGTTGTTTGGCCTTTTGAGCGCGGGGCGGTGCTTGTATGAGGGAATCATCATCCAGGATTGTCTTCTCCTTCTTTTTGGTTGTCACATTGTGGATCGGAGCTTTTCTTGACTTTTTTGTAGACAAGAATGTTTTGGCATCTATGTTTTGTTTTGTTACCCCCTGTTCTGTTTTATTTGGTTGTTCCCTTCCTCTTTTCGTTGCGTCTTTGCCTTTTGGTTGTGTGCAAGTGGGTCGATATGACACACGGGGGTGGGGCAGCCGTCGCTCAACTTACATCCACGTGGGTGGCCTTGTACGCAAGAGGTTCAGAACAGGGGGAGTTGTAAAGAAGAAGATTAAAAACGAATTTAAGGTTTTTTTGTTTTCCTTGTTTTTTTCACTTTGGCGCTCTGATATCATGTGACAATATATATATATATATATATATATATGAGTCGACGACTGCTGCTTGGACAGTGGTCGTTTGGTCCTGGTACACCACCTCATCTGGGCCCTTTGCCTGGGACAAGATTTGGCTGGGTCCTCCAATGTGGCCTCCTGATATTGCCAATTTCAAACTTGGAACCGGGTGAAAGCTGACTGCAAATGGCTCATTTAAAAAAAAAAAAAAAAAAAAGTGCAAAAACTTTCAGAAAGCCCATTCTTTGGCCCTTTTTTTTTTTTAATAAACAAGGGGACACGCCGCAGCTGCGTCCGCGACCGAGTTGGAAAAAGGAGGGAGAAGTGAGAGGGGAAGTTGTGGAGAAGCGAGGGATAGATGGGGAGTGAGAAAAAAGGAGACCAGGCCATTCGAAGGAGGAAGTGAGGAATATGTTGATAGAGGACGAAGGAGAAGCGAAAGTTGTGAACTCACCATGAGACATGAATGAGCGGGTTGAAGCATGAACTTAGTATGAAACGCTGCAGTGATGAAAGAACCAATCATTTGATAACAATGGAGAAAAAAAAACAATGGACAATTTGTATAGAGGAATGTTATTCTTCAGAAAAGGACAATGTATGCAGAGGACTGTGCAACAACGAATGCAGAAGATAGTTTGTATCCGCCTTGTTGCGTTTGGAGCCGAGTTTGTTGTAGTAGTTTTCATGAGTTGCCGCAATTCTTGTGTCGTTGGCGAAGCTCCCGCTAGTCTTCATGTCGGACGACTGGAGGAGGTCGGACGCTGGAGGAAGGAAACCGCTCTTCGGACAATGTCCGCCCTGTAGATGTGGAAGGGAGGCAGTTGGCATTGTGCTTCGTGGTGAGGGACGACGATGAGATCGCTGAGATATTCCCAAGTTCGAGGAGAGTGGGGAATGTTGTATATGGAGATGGTGTGGCGGGAAGCGAGTATGTCGTGGATCATTGTTGTTGCATGTGTGCATCTCCATCGTTCGAGTGGCTTCCACCAGTGAGGGTCTGTTTCGTGAGTTGGTAGGAGGAGGGGAGGTGGTGTGGGTTGTGCGGAAGCGATGGAAGGCGTCCATTTTCGATCTTCGCAAAGGGACGTATTCTTGAAAGAGTCGGGATGCACGAAAAATCGTCGTTCGTTCTGTTGGACGTGTATTAAGATGGAAAGCAAAAAATTTTCGTGCTGTGATGTTGTGAATGTCAGAATCGGAGTGTGTATCTTCTTCAGTGGCCCATCCATTTTCACCCGACGGGAAAAGTAGAACATAATGTAGCAGATCAAACGCTCGATTCGTGTCGGCGATAGCTACAGTGCCACCAGTTCGACGATGTATCACAATTTCACGTCTGAGAGGCTCATCTTGCATAAGGATACAAAGTTCTTGCAATCCCTCGGGTTTGTTATATCTGCGCATATGCTCCTTTGATGGACGCACATCAGGATTGATAACAATTTTACGGTTTTCTATCATTATGGTCTGGGAATTCAGAGATTGTAATGAAATCTTGAACCCAACGGTTGCATCGGCAAAGGAGATAGTGCAGTTTTCGTAAGAGCGATTTTATATGTTGTGTCGTGCTCAGCGGTATGTCTGGAGGTACATTGAATCCATGGAGGCGGAGAATCGTCGCGTTGTTTTGGTCAAGGGGGTCGTATATGTAAATCTGAGCAAAAGATGGTTGTCGGTTTTCCTGCGGCATGAGAGGTCCCAGAAACTGGTGCAGTTGTCCTTCGATTTTGAGCATTCCTTGCCAATGTCCAGGTGGCATTTGCGTTTCTTTGACTGTCTGAGACACGAGAGCAAGTGCATTATTGAATTGTCGGAGGCGGCGGGCGCATACGTGGACAGTAAGCCACGACTGAATTCGTGCTCGATGTCAATAGCGAGCCTGAGACTTGAGAATCCACGCGACACTTCATTGCCTGAGAAGGTACTCACGCAAGGACCTAAACCTTCAGGAGACAATTCAATTAAATTCGAGATCGTGGGAACTGGGGAAATAACTCCACGGTGGTACCATACCAAGGAGAATTCAGAGGTCCCGTAGTAAGTGAGCGGAGGAGTCGCCATAACTTTCGTCACTTTCCCGCATACGGAGAATCCGGTCAGCAGGACTGCCCGGTTCAGGGTTTTGTCCAGAGGGGTGGCTGGACTTTGCCTCGGAGACAGTATAGCGAAGTCCAAGTGCGTTCGTGAGCCCATTTTTCCGCTTTGCAGTATGTGCAACATGTGCTGTCACTGAGGGTGATGATTTGAACCGGAAGTCGTTGAACAAAAAGCGTTGGTGTGTAAAGACGTGCACTGTGGATTCGCGGCTGAATATTATTTGCGTGTCTTTGTCTGTATCGACGCTGGCGTTCTCTGTGCATGCGACGTGCTCTTTCTTCGGCGTGTTGTGAGCTTTCAACTAAGGTGGAGCGGATTGGACGGATATATGGGAGTGTGAAGATATGAGTACAGAAAGGATAAAGGAGAAGACACATCACACCAACGACAAATGAAACCAACAGGTGTCATTTGAGGAAATTTTGAATGAATCCATTTCACTACAAAAAAATAAAATAAAATGATAAACTGTTGAGCGATCGAATTGGATGATATATTATGTAAAGGTTGTCGCTGATTTTTTTTTTTCTTTTTAAGAAAAGAAAAGCAAACAGAATTGCGCCGGTTTCTAAGTTGACAGTCGTTAGCATTTTTTTTAGACAGGCAAAAGAAAAAAAAGGGGCGAGTGAGTTTAATGATGATAATTTCAAATTGTCACCGTTTTTGTTTTTTTTCTTTTCTGAGAAAAAGAAAAACAAAAGAAAAAATCCACAGTTGTCGAAGAAAAAAAAGAAAAAAATTGGATGATATATTATGCAAAGGTTCTTAGTGAATTTTTTTTTTTCCAAGAAAAAAAAGGCAAACAAAATTGAGCAGGTTTCTAAGTTGACAGCCATTAGCATTTTTTTAAGATAGGAAAAAAAAAATCAAAGAAAAAAAAAAGGAGGAGCGATGATAACTTCATATTGTCACCGTTTTTGTTTCAACTCTCTCTGAACCTCCCCCTCCTCCTCTATCCTTGCGATCCCAACGCCACCCCCTCTCCCCGATCCCAATTCTTCCCCCCC